AATAAAGAGAAACATAAAAACAATAGGTTGAATGCCTAAAGGCATTCACCCAATAATAAAGAGAAAAACAAAAACAATAGTGTGAATGCCTAATGGCATTCACACAATAAAGAGAAACATAAAAGCAATAGGTTGAATGCCTAAAGGCATTCACCCAATAATAAAGAGAAAAACAAAAACAATAGTGTGAATGCCTAATGGCATTCACACAATAAAGAGAAACACGAAAACAATAGTGTGAATGCCTAATGGCATTCACACAATTATAAAACTTGAGGTAAAGTTCTTCTTTAATTTATTTGGTGCATTTTAAACACATTTATTTATTTATTTATTTAGTGGTTCATTTATATGTTTCTGCTTTTAACACTAATTGTCAGTTTTGGTCCTCCATACAGCTGAACTTGGAAGAGGTCATTCAGTGACTGAATCAGGTGTGTTGGAGCAGAGAAACAAGTAAAACACGCAGAGCTGCGGCCCTCCAGGACCAGGATTGCCCACCCCTGCTGTAGCTCTTTTTATGTGTTGGGCAAAAGTATTTTCCTAATAGCTGACACAAAAGCAAGGTGCAAATTAAAAAAAAGAAAAGAAAACTTGGCCTTGCAATATACACCAAAGGAAACGGCATTATTCTCGTCTCTTAACAGCAATTAGGTTTCCTTTTATCTAAAATTAAACAAATGATAACCTTGCTGTCGCTGAGGGTGACTGTTTTTAGTATCCCAGCTGTCAGCGACATAATGAGCACAACAGACATGAGAAGCGACCTCAGGCGCTTCACAGATAAGCTTAGGTGAAAGGTCATTAGGTGACATTAGCTCACCGATGACAGCCAGGCCAATTTATGTTTGGTATATTATTTATTTTGTAAACCTTAAATGAGACACATCTTTAAAAAAAGACAGAAAAGCTCACCAAAGGGCAATTTAGCCATAAATATAGCCTTATATGTTATAGACTCTCCTGTGCATGGGTCTGCACACTGCACAGATACATGCAGCATGAGAACGGAACCATTCAAAAAAAGTGCAGATAACGCGTTTGGGAAATCAAGCATATGCCTTTTAAACATAACTAACCAAATGTCAATTTTAATAGCTACCACAACAGATATCACACATCTGTCTGCAGGCTGAATAGTGTTCATTGCTCAGCTGAGAGCCTTTAGCATTTATCATTGTTGTGTGCTGCAAGGCTACATCTCTTCACGTATTTGCTGTCATAATGGCTGAAAATAAAAGACAAATGCATCCATGTACAAAATTGTAGGAGAAAAAAAACCCAATGATAAAACGAAATGAACATTAGTCTCACTGTTGTTAGTAATTACTGCTGCAGTGCCTTTGAGCGTGCCACTCAGGCTATTAAAACAAATGACAGCGCCGCTGGCTGTTATTTGGTATAAGCCAAGCTGTTAAATTAGGAAAACAAGTGAAATTTACTGTTTTTGGAAACAAAATAGAAACCACAGTGCGCTTGAGTATTTTTGATTCTGCACACTGCCCGACACTTGTTGCACCTTTTTTATATTTATTTATTTATTTATTTATTTATTTATTTATTTATTTATTTTAGTGTAGTGTTCGTGTCCCACAGTTTAGCACAAAAAGCTGCTGGGCATTTGACAGAAGCTAAAACATGAAACAGCTGAATTTGACCACAGAATATTAATGAGAAAATAAAGCATGTTACAGCACATTTGCATTATATTCATATATTGTATATATAGTTGTTTTTTTTTTTACATCCATTACCACAACATTTTAGGGGTGGGGTTATCATGCAAAGTCGACTTTTTTGAGCTTTATATCATGCTAAAATGTCAGTTCCTCATCAAAAACATACCCAGAGTGTTGCTCTGACTCGTTCATGCATGTTTGAGAAATCCTTGAATCTCCTGTGGTAGCCACGTGGAGCTGCCTAAACGCTCGCTGCTACAAACCAYCGCCTATTTGTGCACCAACCTCAGGATGAGATGAGCCTAACTTTTTCAGTACCTGGATTAACAGACACTAGTATCACTCACTGTAAGGGTGAAGCATGTGTTTGAGGGAGTTAAAGGGGACCTATTATGCAAAATTCACTTTTTAAAGGTTTTTTTTAAACTCAACTTAGGGTATGTACTTCTTTAAAAAATAGTACTAGGACCAAAAAAATGCACCCAGGGGCATATTTACTGTAAGTAAATGTATTTTTAATGTATATTAATGACAAGTTTTATACTTCCTATATTTTGTGATGTCACAAGCCGTACGACAACCCACCTGGGTGAGACTCCACCTTCTCAGTATAAAAAGCCTCGTGGTTGTTATTATGCAATGCGCAGCTCATTTCACAACAAGCCTCCAATAGGGCAATGGGTAGAGTGTTGGACCAGAGAGTGGGAGACAAGGGCTTGAGACTGGCACGGACACAATTTCATTATTTATTTTCGTTCGTTATGAACACGTTTTCTCATGTACCTCTATTGTTTAGCTTATTAAAGCCTTGTTAAAGCCTATTTGTTCGAGTTTCTGAGGTATTTTGACCGCTGCTGCTCCCTGCTCTGGTAACAGCATGCAGAGTGAGTGCTGAGCAGAGGAGGGAGAGAAAATAAATCTGCGACCACGACTCTGCCTCTGATTGTACAACGGATTTTTGGAGGGCGTTACCAACAGAGCTCATTAACATAAACAGCTCTTCTGAATGGAAGTCAGAGCACGCAGAACTAGAAAATGGGAAATTTTATTATCTGAGAATTATTTTGTGCATTAAATTGAATGAACATGGTCTGGATAGCCCACAGACATACCATAAAAATTTCTAGGACCCATAATTGGTCTCCTTTAAAGAGATTATGAAGGTGTTGTATGCATCATTTTATTCGATTTTTGGATCTGGATGTTTTTCTTTTTCTCCCTTTCTGCAGTTCCTGGAGCRTCACCGAGGCGGGTTGAGGTGGAAGTCCTGAACTCCACAGCGCTTAAGGTGATGTGGCGTTCGGTGACACCAGGCAAGCAAAATGGTCAGATCCGTGGCTACCAGGTTCACTATGTGCGTGTGGAAAACGGCGAGTCTCGGGGCCTGCCCCTCATTAAGGATGTGATGCTGGCTGATGCCCAGGTATGTCCATCTCTCAGGTTCCCCATCAATAATCAGAAAACTGAGGAAATTGACTGCAGAATAAAGTACAAMTTYGCAAGTTTTGTCACTGGAGTGTTAAGAGCAATATAGGTYCTATTTCCTCTTGGATTTCATTTCATGATGCTGTAATATTCTTCCACCTCTGCCTACAACAAGAACTATAATCAAAGCCTCCATCATCGTCTTCCTTCCTCTACCTCTACAGCTTTTATTATGAATGCCAACTTTATTGCAGCATTGGCCATGAAATAGTTGCTTATGTAGGTCTCAAATGTAGCGACTCAAAAAAAATGTTGATTTGGATACTCTTGCTTGACAGTTGAGGAGAAAAAGATGCAAAAATAAACGTTTCACCATTGATCTGCCTCAGCTAACAGATCTTTAATGAATACCAGTTTTCTCCTCGTTCTATATAACCTCTGCCAACATGGTTCTAAAAGAATCCTGGGAAATTGAAACATTTCTGCCCAGAAGAAATCATTCAGATGGAAATAATCACCTGGAACCAATAGGATAAACAACACTAGGACAAGTGTTGGCCATTCTACATACAGCATATTAAGGAAAAATGAGTAGAAAACTTTGTGAACACATTTATATATAAACAAAGTGCCACAAGAATAAGTTTGTGCTAGGATGAATATCCTAAATTAAATAGTCTAATAATGCAAAACAGTCAATAATAGTTTTATTTGTTGTTTTCGAAGCCCGTTAAAGTTACATCTTAATGTCATTATTCACTTTAYGTTTTATTGAAATGCTCTAGGTTTCACTGACAGCTCTATATAACTTTCCATCTTGCATTAGCTGTTTTTCTTTTAAATCTTTTTGCAATTATTATTTTTTTACTCCTGTCCTCCCAAAAACTAGCAGCCTATTTCTGCTACCCACCCCCTGCTGGCAAAACCTCTCGTGCCCCTCCCCTTGCCTCTCACAGTCCCATTTCTTCCCTTTCATTTTTCTCTTTCTTTAAAAAGAAATGTCACTCTTTCTCTCCCTTTCTTTCTCTCTTGCACTCTCCACTTTGGCGGGGTGGGGTTAGTGGGAAACGGACGATACAGCCGAATACGTGAGTATGAATTTTCACCCGAGTGCTTTGTGTGCCTAAAACAGTGGCTATTGCATCAATGTGGTTATATTCACAGCTGACATAACCCTTCCAATCTATATTCATTAGACTTTTATAACAAAGGGGCTTAGGGGCTTCACTTTAGCTCTTTGGTAAGTCCACCTTCACATTATGGAAAAAAAGGACAAACTTCTGTTGTCAGTTAGCTTGTATGAAACAATTTCTGATGCAATATCCACTGGCCACTGCTTGGAATCTTGTGTATCTTGTGTTCTGAAACTTCTGTCTTGTGATCTTTTTTTCACTTTTAGTTCTTTGACTTGTTTTTGTGTATATATGTTTTTATTGTACGGTGCCTTAATATTACTTAGCACCACAGACCCTAGTTTACACATTATCTTGTTTCGATCCTTAATATCTAAATCAAATTTCTGAAGTTTTAAAGACAGATTTGAAACTTTCCAAGAATACTTTGTGACATGTTAGACGTTACTTATAGCTTATTTACCTTTATTGACTTCCCCCATTCCTCTGCCAACAAGCCTGTTAAAAACCTCATTTTGTATTCGTTGAAAACCCTCTCCCTTGAAAGATTCATTAGAATTGATCGGAAGCCTCTCTTTGAAGAGGACTCGCGGAAACTTAATGGCTAAAGGTAAAAAAAATCAAGCAAGAAGGCCAGGAAGTATTCAGCGTGCATTTATCAAAGTTAAGTTGTTGATTGGGTTATTGCTAAAGGAATAAGGAAGAGCTGCGCTGCATTTACATACACAACGTCCCAGCTCCACTTTGGCAGCTCTAAGGACTTAAGTAATGGAATGGTCTCCCATTACATGGGGAGAAACAATACATTAAACGCCCGCTTCGTGGAAAATTAATAAAAAGGACTGAGAGATGCTTGGATTAACATTCTGTGCGAGGCAGTGTGAGCCGCACAAAGTGAGGTCAATTCATGAAAAATTCAGAACACATTTTGACATTTTCCTTTTTTCTTTTTTTTCTCTCTCTCTCTTTCTCTGTCTCCCGTAGGAAATGGTCATTGAAGGACTCAAGCCAGACACTACTTACTCCATCACCGTGGCAGCGTACACCACCAAGGGGGATGGAACTCGAAGCAAACCCAAACTGGTGGTGACCAAAGGGGCAGGTCGGTGCAGAGATAAGTTGTTTATTGATTTGATCAAAGAACCTCTGTTTGCACTGATAAATGCAGTCTATCCCTGATTTGACTATAAAGGTATTTTTGTCTGTTTTTTAAGGACCAATTTTACATTTGAGAAAAAAAAGTATTAAAATGACCTTCATTAGGATCAATAGTTTACTGATTTAAGCTGTTTGAAAAAGTATGAAAAAGCAGACATAAACATCTGCAATCAATCCTGACATTTTAAGCACGCTGATTAAGTGCTTTAATTTAGGGCATGTTTTTTTTTTTTTTGATCTTTGCTTTGGAAAATGCATAACATTGAGTTAGCAGTCTATTCAACTTCAGCATGTTATCTGAGACATCTGAGGCTAAGTGGATCTTGGCTTATTTCAGTCATGTTCAGACGCGACTCCACAGATTTTAAAGGATCAAGAGCATCTTTAATGTAGTTTCAGATCTTTTTAGGCAGATTCTGACAGCATGAAAACCCCTGTTGGGTCTTTGATTTCAGCTGTAGTTGAAAAATATTCAAGACAAATGCCTCTGCTCTGCGAAGCCGTGCAGTTTTGATTTTGTGCCTTTGTAACCGCTGGTGTACACAGTTTGAAAAGACCTCCTGTGCTGTTAGCAGGAATATAATCTAAACAGTGAGGTTTTTGTTTTCTTTTGTTTTTTGATGAATTCAAGGCCAAAGGAGGAAGGAGCATTTCACTGGAGCACATGTGCCACTTGTCTTTAGTCATAGAGCTAATTTGCACACACCTACTGTTACTCATGGTGTCTACAAAAGCAAAAATACAAGAGACATTTACAGACCTGTGCTGTGGCATTGCACAGACCGCTGAACACACACAGAGAAGGAAAAACAATTCCCAGATCCTGACAGGTGTGTGTGTCACAGGTTTGAAAACGTGTTGTGTGAAGAAAAGGACCTGAGTGAGCACTGCCACTCTTCATCTCCCTGTGGGACCACCTGCGTGATATGCCAGGCTAAGGTTTTCTGCTTGTCTCTCGATGAGAAAACCTCCTTTTTTATGATTATTACTGAAGTGTAAAGAAATGGTTTATGCCAGGGGCCAAGAGATAAACAGAAAAGGACAAGAGCTTGAAAGTAAAATAGAAAGAGAAGCCTTACTTGGAAGTAAACTCATTTTATTCCTTCATCTTGAAAGCAATGTTAGAGTGGCCTATTAAAGATGTCTGTGCTTCAATCCATCTATCCACCCATTTTCTTTTACCCACTTCTCCTTTTTGTGGTGCCAAACAGTCATGGTGAACAAGGGGAGGACTGTGTTTCTACTTTTCATGAAATAAAATAAATGTTTTGAGATCGCTGTAAAGCTGTGAACAAAAGAGTTTTTTGAAAAAAAAAAGTACACGACTGATTCCAAGATTTCTAAGGACTTTTATTGTTATTTTATTTTTTTATTATGGCATGATCTAATTAATGAATTACATTATTCAACAGTTTGGTTTGCTTAAAAGTCTTGTTCAAAAAATGAGTTGCTTATTCTAGTTCTACCACACCTAATCTTGCCAAATTTCTGTATAATATTTGTTTTAACAGGATATTCCACCATTTTATACTAAAGTAATCTAATCAACATTATCACATATAAGTTAAGCAATTACTAAATATATTTTTTGTTATATAGCCAAGGATATACCTAAAAGGCACAATAGTTTCCTAAATGATTACATCAAAGTTGTCCTTTTTAGAAAGTATAAAGTTGTGAAAGATATCGACGAGAGAGAGAGAGAGAGAGAGAGAGAGAGAGAGAGAGAGAGAGAGAGAGAGGGTTTTGTGCCACCAAAAAGTCTGTTCACATCGGTAGAAGTCTTTTCATCTTTTATACATCACAGCAAGTTTTCTGGTAATTTAGTGCATCTGAAAATATCTGGAGTTTTCTGTTTTGAAACAATGTACTGTGGTGTTCCTGAGGATAAATGAAAAACACTTACTTCTGAGTCACATGAAAACATTTGTTCTGTGACTGGAACTGTCTGTGTTTACTAACTGAAAGCATGGTTTGAAAAGTGGCTTTCTGTTATTTATGCTTTCCAAACTTTTTTCTTTGTAGGATAAACTTAACTGTGGTCGATGGGGAGTTTTTTTAGTTTTTTTAGTTGTTTTTCGAGGGTACCAAAATAAATGTTGACAATGTTTACATCTGAAAGCTCTCTGCTGCCGTGTCTGTGCATAAAAACGTGTACCAAATGACTACAAGAAGCAATCAATAATCTGGTTTCCATTGCTGTTTTTTTTTTGTTTTTTGTTTTTTGTATTTAAAAGAGTTTAATAGAAAAAAATGAAGTAAAATAAAAAAGCTCCTATATGAGTAAATAAAAATCTAAATATCCACAAATGTGTTTTTCTGTTTGTTTTGGCAGACAATTGATGCACATCATTGCAAACGAAACAGGTTCAAACTGTGTAAAGGAACTTCAAATGATTAATAGGTTTAAACTATGATATTTACCAGCTTTTTTGCTTATTTGAGCTGGCAAAACTCTAAATTGGCATATTTTCAGATTTAGCCTAAACCGATATACTAGACTCAGAAAATAATGTTACATAATCAATTTTCTCTTCTGCCGTTGTGTGTGGATGTGTGCACTTGCTTCAGATTTGCTTTTATTGCTAATGGAGAGGGGACAGCTGTTAAAAAAACACTGAAGAAATGTTAAGCTAGTTCAAAAGATCATCTTTTGTTTGTAAAATGTATACTTAGTTTCTTTTATTTTGTTACGGCTGAGAGGGCAAATTTGTGTTGACCCTAAAAGTTGTTCCAATGCAAAAGTCCTTGATGAATTTGAAAACACCTTTTGTATTTCCTTTCCTTTCCTATAGATTACTATTTCCCAAACACCTGTAGCACACATTGATTTAAAAGAAAAGTTTTGAGTCACATCCCATCTGTAATCAGAGCTCAAAATTTGGGAATTTTTTTCCCCTCAAAGCAAAGAATCTTAGATACATGGTGACGTGATTGAACTGTCATGTTTTTTCCACGTATATACATTAGTTTGGGTGAGTTGAGCACAGATGAAAGGGTTATGAAAAGAGAACCTGATTGCCTATTCCTAAGTTGGGCTGAGTGAGTGTCAACAGCAAGCTATTAAAACTGCTGCCTGATGGGAAACGTGCCAGGAGTCCCACAGAAAGGGATTGAACCATGTTTGGCCCTGAAATGGACGTAGATAAAGGGATGGGGGAGAAGGTTTGGAAAAGGGGTAATGGGCTGGGCAGAGTATAAGGAAAGAAGGGAGGAAATGAGAAAGAATAGGAGAGTGTGTGTCGGGGGAGTAGAAGGGAGGGACAATCAAGGTGTCTAGAAACCCCAGAATCACTCTTGGTAACACACAAATATTTCAGCCTCCTCATATCCCTGTTGGACCCTCTTTGCAGCTGATTGCTCTCTGTCCCTTGTCACCTTCATCATTCCTCATTCACTCATTTTTCTTCCCCTCACCGTGCCCTTGCTGTCCTTCTCATCATCCTTGTAGCACCACACACGTACACACCGCCTGAACAATTCCTTGTTTCACCTGCCTTCTCAACACCAATCTGCTGGCTCAGTGCCCCTTATCCCTCTCCCCTAAAATGCATTTGGCCACAGGTTTGAATGCACAAATAATAAAACTGTCCGGGGKCTACAGAGGCTGTGAAGAATACATGCCTGTTGAGTTTGGAAGTGAAGCACAGAAAGGGAGAATGGGAAACACACTGGTGGAATCATAACAGGATCATTATCTCTGATTCCATTTCCTTGATTAACAGTGAGCATGATGGTAGAGTGGGTTTTTAAATGACACCAAGCTGAGCTGTAGTATGTAGCTAAGGAGTATTACAAAGATTCATTTCACACAGTATGCAGCACTCCCGCCCTTCCCGTATGGGCAAAACCTCAGCTGACAAGCCCCATCCACCCACCCACCCACTCCTATCTTCTTCTAGCACCAGTCTTCAGAAAGAAGACCATTAGCACACAGAAATGACTAATAAGGGAAGAGGAATGAACTGTAAAGTGTGTGTGTGTGTGCGTGCGTGCGTGCGTGCGTGTGTTCCACTCACACATAATACAAACTAATATTATTCCATAGAGAGAGAGAGAGAGAGAGAGAGAGAGAGAGAGAGAGAGAGAGAGCTGTTGCCTCAGACTAATGTTAGCTTCTCCAAATTACTTTAAGTTCACACTGGGCAACAAGCCAAATAATTCTATGTGCAGCTATTTCAGCTGATATGTAGGATAGACTACTAACCAGGACCTTTATTTTTTGCACACAAACTCATACAYAGTATTCTACATTCTTTAAGTGCATTATTCAGAAAAATGCACTAAATCAGATGTGTTTTATATAAGATGCAAACAGGTTGGGGTAGAGAGAAGTGCTCAGTTTTCAAATATTTATTCATGTTGTCTAAGTGGTAAACTTAACAGAAAGCAAACATCTATAATTCTAGCTTCCTGGAATGCCAGTAGGAGGTGTATGTTAAACATTTGACCAGTGTCACGGTCCAAGTGTCTAGGATTACTCTGGACACATAATATATAGACACCTTGTTTCAGAGCAGCAGAAGAAACAGGATAAGGTGTCAAATAAAACGTTATCATTACATTTTATGTGCCAGACCTCAAAGTTAAAAAGATCAAAGATAAAAACACCCAACAATTGATGACAAGGAACACTTCGCACATCCCCCACCAAATGCTGAATGGTGGGGAGAGACCCGCCTTTCAGCAACAAGAAAATGAACAGTCCCGGACGAGCCCCCAAATATTGTTGTCCAAATATCTAGGATTACTCCAGACATCTAACATACTGTATAAAGTCCAGTCAGTTTTGACATTTAAACAAATGTTTCATTAAAGTCTAGTCCAAACAAAAAGAGAACAAAAGAAACAAAAGAAAGGGAGCTTCCCGAAGCTGTTGAATGCATTCCTCTGGGATTCACTTCAGTTTTTCTTCTGAGATTTCCTCCTTACTTGTTTTGGATATTCTTTTCAGATCCTCTGAATTTTCTCTTCCAGTCACCTGAGTTTCTTCTTTAGTTTTCTTCTGAATAGTCTTCACAATCTTGCTCCACAACCCCTTTGGCTTGTGACGAAGTGGGGGTTCTCTCCTGTGTCCTCTTCAGAGATCTGCAGGGAATGTCAAAGAAAAATCCTTCTTCCTCTATCTTCTTCATCATTTTATACACTCAATCAAGTGGAACAACTACTGTTCTTGGTATCAAACTGCTTTAAGAAGCTCATATTGGTTCAGGATGCATATCACCTGACGGAGTAAGTCAGAGGTTTCCCTGGACTTCCTCCTTCAATGGTTTCTTCCATCACTGACAGGTTCAGATGGTCACTTAACATCTGGAGGAGTTGTAGAAGTTCCTCATTTTCTGCACTCAGAAGTTCCTGTTTCTTCACACCAAGAGCTTAAACAAATCAATTTGTATCACTCCTACAGCCTTTAAAACTTCTTTCCCTAGTCACATTAACATAAGGTAATTTTATTTTAAATCAGAGTAACATTCAGCAATGTATTGTTACAGAGTAAAGCAAARCATCAAACAGATTCACTTCATGTGTTAAAATCATTTTTCACTCGTTTATCAATGATTGTATGTAAAACCAAAAGCAAAGCATTCTTCTATAATCTTATTTTCTCTAACTGTTCTTATCAGAACACATTTGAAGGAAATCATCCTATTTTAACATGAACACAAGAACAAAAAGCTTTTTCTTTTCTTTTTGTTAAACCCTTAGTTCCTCTTATCCTGGGACACAGTGAATTTCATGTTATTTCAACATTACAACAAAGTAAAAATCACATTTTAAGATGATCACAGCAAGGACTTGGATTGATCTCACCTTAATTTGACATTTCCAAGCTTTGGTCTATTCTTCATTTTTTGTGTTTTAGATTTTTTAATGCTAACATTTGCAGCAGTTGTTTTTTATGGACAGCTCTCATGTTTTTCTTTTTATAGGTTGAATGATGGATTACCTTGGTGCATGTATATGTAATCATTAATAATACTTATGCATTGTACCAGTCAAACACTGAACAGTTTTGCATTAGATGGTTAAAAAAGAACACACCGTTCATTCTCGTTCTTTATTTTATTTATTTATTTATTTATTTTTATTATTTCTTTTTTAATTTTTTGTTGGTGGGGGTCCAAACATAAAAATGGGCTACTTTTTAAAAAATTTAAAGGGACCATAAAGGGCTCCTGCAGTTCTTACTGTAAATGCTGCATATAAATGTCTTCAACCTTACTATTATTTGTCTGTTATTTGTCCTTGTATCTCTGAGGAGGAGGCACCATAGCTATGTAATTGTAAATGAACTTGTTGTAGAATGTGTTTACAGTGAGGTGACTCTTGAGAGCAACTTGTCCATGCTCATCTGTTGCAAGGCTTTGACAGCTGCATGAGCACTGAGGTCTTATCTTAATTACTTAGTACTCCCTTTATCTCAATGATGAAACCTTTAAAAAGGTTTAAGATGTTACAAAAGACATTCATAATATCTTCAAAACTAATACATAAACCKAATACAAAAGAAAGATACTGCCTCATGAATAAACATTAACTAATGTTTTTTTTTGTCTTTTTCTACATACAGTTCCTGGTCCACCTTATTTGTCAGTACTTCAAGACACAAAGGCATCAGCTGTTGTTCAGTGGGATCCTCCAGACCTGACAAATGGAATGGACCTGCAGGGATACCGGCTCCAGTTTGGCCGAAAAGATGTCTCCCCCTTGGCCACACTGGAATTTGCTCCCCAAGAACGAAAGTATTCTGTGGGCAACATTCATCAGGGCGCCACTTATCTCTTTAAGATCTCCGCCAAAAGCAGAGGAGGCTTTGGGGAAGAGGCTGTGGCAGAACTCGCTATTCCTGAGAATAACCCAGGAGGCTACCCTCAAATTAGCGAGAGCTCCAATGTAACATGCTGCTCAGTTCAGCTGTCGTGGTCTCCACCAGTGCTGGCAGAGAGGAATGGGGTCATCACAGAATACACTTTGGCCTATAAAGAAGCTGGAACCAGAGAAGCACCACAGGAACTCCGCATACCTCCAAATCTCTCCAGCTATGTGCTCAGCAGCCTCAAACCGAACTCTGCATATGACGTGAAAATACGTGCCCACACCAGTGTAGGTCCAGGGCCCTACAGCCCGCCTATCCAGTATCGGACGGTGGCCATTGATCCTGCAGGTAGGGCTTGTCTGTTTCTTTACCAACCCAGTGGCAGGGGGTTGGAAATTGGCTAAAAGCAGTCTGCAACGACACAAAAATGAAAACTACCCCATCCACTTCTTCAACCACCTCCTCTTTTCCTTAAAAGGAGGAAAGATTGATGTTTAAAATTGCTTGCCATGGAAAAGTTGCTTCACTAACCCAAATCAGGTAAAAAGAAAGTCAGTCAAGTTATAGTCAGTCATTTTGAGAAAGGGGAGAGCAGCATAGAATTTAAGGTAAGTGTTTATTTTTTTGGTCAGACACTCCAGTCAGTCCTTGCAGCCCTTGTAAGCACATTCACACAACTTTGTCATCTCACTTCCCAGTTTTCAAACAAGGTAGGATCTCTGTTAARTCCAGTCTCTAGCACATTTTGTTTTGGAATATCGTAGGAATTCTGGAATCATTTTGTTTTCTGTTTTTGAATTTTGTTTAATTTTCCGGGTTTGATTTGAGATATTCTTCCGTTCCTACCACACTCCCTCCCTTAAAGCTTCTTTTCCCTTTCCTCGTTCCTTATCAGGACAGCTTGTGGCATGGCATCTGCACTGCTCAGGACTTTGGCATGCAGTGTTTAGGGTCTGTCTCAATGTCTGTGTGGCAGCACGTTGGCAGTGCCAACTCCAACTCTGTAACCTTGTCAGAACAGTTGGCTTTGGGTCTACAAAGATTAAATGTTAATCATCAAGTAGTCATGGCTCAAAGTCAGTAGTGAGACGGGTTGGCACTTCGAATGGTGGCTAGCCAAAGGGCGTACCCTTGTTCCTCATGGGTTTGTTGTCCATAAGTCTTACGTGCTGTGTGTGTCAACCAACGGCATAACCTTTCTCACAGCCAATCACAGCTCACTGTTGCATATACTCTTCAACTCAATGGAAAGTTGCAGGAAAAGGACAGCTTTCATTTCAAAGCCAAAATTCTTTATTATTTTCTTGTTTACAGTGTTTGTTGCTTGAATTTAAAATGCACTTGTTTTTTTTTCCCCTTCTCTTGCATTGTCTTTCAAACAGACGTTCCGAAGAATTTCACTGTGAAGTGGGTCACCAAGACCACAGTAGTTCTTGCRTGGAAGTTTTCCGAAAACAGATCTGCATACAAATGCACGGTGTGTTAAATGGCGCGTGTTAAAAAAAACTTTAATGAGTTTTATTTTAAAATAAACATCTGTCTGTGTAATTAGGGTTGCTTCAAATTCATTTTAGTTTACACTGAAACTGCAAGTAGTTTAATTATAATGTTGTTTATTCACATTTAAAATGAAAAGCCTATTTTGGTGCATCATTCTCAGTTGCTTTTTTATTGCACCTGTCCAGTTCTCTGCAAACCACCTTAATTTTCTTTTGAATTCTGTTCGTTTGAACCGTAGATTGAGTACACTCGTCAAAAAATGGATGTGGATGCTAGACAGTTGAAGGTGTTCATCACAGGGCTAAGGCATAACACCACATACGAGTTCAGGGTGACCTGTCAAGAAAGCATGGATGGTGGGCCACGGCACCGTGTGGTGGCCAGGACGGCACCACTTATCTTGGCCAAGAAACCCAAACTGGATATTTATGCTGAGCCTGAAAACATACTTACTATGTCCTTTCCACAGATCAACAACAAGGATGTCAAGTGAGTATAGAGAAAATTTAATATAAAAATGCTCAAATCTTCATGATTAATTTGAGGTATCACTGCTTGTAGTGTAAAATGTCTGCTGTGCAGTAGATTTTTTTTAAGAATTCTGATTGTAGTTTGCCTGTTGCAAGTACTTAAACTGATATTCAGTATTATTAAAAATATTTTTTTTCTTGTTGGTGCATTTTCAGGAACTTCTATGTAGTAGTGGTACCACTTAAAACAACATCAGGAACAGTGAAAAACTTGAAGAGCCCTGATGAAATGGACATAGAAGAGGTAAGTTTTGGAAGCAATAGTGTTGCTTATATAATGTGAACCCAGCACATTTTGTAGAAGTCACATACTTTATATGCAGTATATTTAAAAAGAGGCAACACTGGTCTGTACAAAAAAAACACGTTTGTGCTGAAATGTTTCTGTTTTACATATCCATGTTGTGAATGTTAGTTATACTGTAAATACAGTGTAGCATAATGAGTACACACAAGTGCATTTCAGCTATGCAAATTTAGCCCTAATGCATGCAGAGGAAAAAAATCATGCAGTCATCGCTAACTCTTCCGATAGCTCGGGGTCACCTTTAGCAGCAGATCAGCTGCAGATATTCCTATTGGATTTGGAATTACACAGATTCCCTCTTGCTAGTGCTTACCTTTGTCTGAATGAGAGTGCTTGTTTTTTTTTTTTTTATTCAAGATATCGCAAGGCTTTTTTCAATCTATAATTTGATTTCTCTTAATCCTAGGCAGCTCACCATTATCACCTACTCAGAACATTAAGTAATCTTTGATATGAAAATTGGAAAACACATTTTCCTGCCAAAGCCAATAGTTTTGAGGGGTTTCAGGCAATGACAGTTTTTTATAGATGTTCTCATAATGAAAACTGAAGAGTTTGATTACTCAGTGACAGAAATGATTGTCTCTCATTTGATCATCACTGAAAGCTTCTGCTCCTTTATGTCATTCTAATTTGGAGTTTTCAAATGCGACAGAGTTAAAAAAAACAGCATCAAAACCCTTTACTAGGTCAGACTTAATTGTTCTCCTGATCTAGTTCTTGTAAAGGATCTGCCGATTGATTTGACACTGATTTGCAATTACTAATGTGAATACAAAAAAGGAAAAAAAGCATTTTATAAGGAAACTAATACTGTTTGGATTTTGAAAAGCTCCTGCGGGAGGTGATCCCAAAGAGACGCTCACGCCGTCAGCTGGCTCAGCTGGACCAGAGGAATCCCTACATCACAGCTTGCTTCAAGCAGCTGCCTCCCAGCTTCACTGTGGGCTCCGACCACCGTTTCAGCAGCTGTGAGAATAAGTCTCTTGAACCTGGTCAGGAGTATGTCTTCTTCCTGCTGGCTGAACTCAATGCCACTGTGGGGGTGAGTTTCTGGATCAGCCCAGCTCTACACAGTTAAGCTGAACTAATTGCAGTTCGTTTCCTTTGGTTGAACATTAATTGGTATTTCGGTTTTTGTTCACTTATAATGATCTGCCTCATTGTTTCTTGAAAATCAAGCTTATATTCATCATACTGCATTTTTTTCCCAGAAAATGTTTGCTACTAGCCCTTATACCGACACAGTGATGACTCCTGAGCAGATTGTGGACCCATTGCCAGTAGAAACTGGTGATGGACTTATATGGGTGGTTGGCCCTGTCTTGGCTGTGGTCTTCATCATTGGCATCGTCATCTCCATTCTCCTTTTGAAAAAGTGAGTTGACTCTAGAATTGTGTGATTTTGTTGTATGATCTTGAGCCTAGTGGAGGATAAAACTTGAAAAGTAACTTTAAATGTTGAGAAGTGACTTCTAGGCTTGCAAAGCTGTTATTTTTCATGTATCTCCAGTATTAAAAAGCTGTGTTGTTGAAAGATCTTTAACAGCATGTCTTTTCCTTGTCACTGTGAACCTGTCATTTAGCAACACAGTGGATTAAAATCGTGGCTTTGCATTGTTGGTACCTGCTACAGGCATGGACCCTCAGAGGCTTAAACAATAATCCATTTTTTTTATTTGTTTGTATTTTGTGAATTGAGCTGAACATGTTATAAAATTCTATTTCCCCCACCCATTCAGCAGCATGACGAGATGCTCTTGACATTTCATGTTGAACCAGTTATTTGGATTTTAAATGGAAAATTTGGTTACTGGGGAATAATTGCATGTTGGGACGCATGCTGAGGCAGTGGCATATTTTGTATTCATTGCAACGTGGCACTCGGACCCAATAACAYTGATGCATGTAAATGTGGCTTTGTTGTGCGGGGTAAAAAGATGGCTGTGGGAAGTGAGCTGGATGAGAGAGAGAGAGAGGAGATGATGAGATTCTGAGACAATGCTCAAAATTAGAAAAATTAATACCTGATTTAATGCCTCATTTATTTAAAAAAATACAAATTAATTGTAAAAAAAAACACTGTTTTCATAATCAATTTGACAGTGATTTAGGTTATTTATTAGTTGCTTTGATTGTGAGCTTTCTTTCAAATTTTGATCAATTATATTCGAGCAGAATAAACACATTTCAAAATATTCAGTGGTGGCTGGAGGTGATATTTATAAGGTGGGCTAACAGGTATAGAATATGTAGATATATAATGAAACACTGCTTATTGCATTGCAACAACAGAAGCATCGAGATTTAGCATGTCTTTTCACTGAAACCAGGTCTCGGAAAAATGTTGGTTTTTTCCACCTTTTTTTTTTTTTTTTTTTTTTGCTGAATTGAAATCCTGCAAATCCGCCCCCAACCTCTTCACTTTCAGTTTTTTTCTCCAAAGACATTAAGGAAAACAGGTGAGAAATTAAATAATCCACCCTGTTTATGTTAATCTTGCTCGACATCGCACCTTTATTGGCTAAAGCCTGTAAGCTTGGGTTGAACAAAACTAGCCCCAATCAGCAGCAAACCAAAGGGGCGAGCCAAGATGTCTGTCAATCATTTTGTACAATGAAAGACATGAAATGAACAGGGCTGTGAAAASTTAGGCCTTTGCAAAGTAAATTTCCCAAAATGTGGTACATTTTTAATTTGTATTTCTTAGGTTTTGGACATTTTATGGTCTATGTAAAACACCAGAGAAGACTTAGACCTACTAGCCAATGTACACAAGCCACATCTGAAATATTACAGTTTTTAGTAGCTGTTGGTGTTAACTTTAGTGACTCCAAGTGAGGATGGAGTATTGGGTTTAAAGGTAGTCCCTACATACAAGAGGAGCTTCCTGAGTTCTCTAAAATGAGTCAGAAAGGCTGGTGTTAGCAGCGTGAGTACAGCATGATACTGTCAGATGATCCCTTGCTGTCTGACCTTGCCGTACCTCCATCTTTGGCGGTTAGGGAGAGTAACATCTCTCCTTGAATCTCTCTCTTTTTTCTCCATTCTCTTTCTCTTCATCTCACTCTCCCGCCTCTCCTTGAATAGTGTTTCCCGGGTCTGCCCTTGGCCCTGACATCCCCACCCTTTTCCTCTGTGTATTTGCACCCTCGTGCGCACACGTAATGACACGCACACACACACTCACGGATGCATGCGCTTACTTCCACGTTCCATCAAACGCGTACTTATTTTCACCCATTGACACGTCCGCACACACATACACACACCAACTCCTGACACTGCTGAGCCATATCTCGCATGTTTTTTTTTTTCTGCGAGCCCAACAATGACCCCTTGTGAATTTTAACCTGCTCTTTATTGATTTATATCTCTTCTTGCCTCCCCATCTCCCTTTCTCCTTGTGTGTTGTGTTTTTTTTTTTTTTTACCATTTTGTTATATTTATTTGGCTCTTATTGCTTTCTATGGAAACAGCAAACCAGACAGGTAAGGTGTAGTTTTGCTTAGAATCAGTGCATTTCAACAAAATAGGATAAGWAGTCTACATCAGTTAAAAATAGTATTTTAGAAAGTTATGCAATCCAGTGGGGAGCCTTGAATTTCTATATATTTATTTACCYTGTAAGGGTCCAATTTTTCAGAGAAAAGGCTGATTATATATTCACCAGTTACYTTTCATGGCTAAAAGTTATTTTGATTTTGTTGTCTGCCCCACCCCCTTTTGTTTTGCTCTGCAGCCGCAAAAGAAAAGAGTCCGAGCCACGCACCAAATGTCTGCTAAACAATGCAGACATTACACCCCACCACCCCACAGATCCTGTGGAAATGAGGCGCATCAACTTCCAAACTCCAGGTAGGACAAACTCATAACGCATATTGCTTCAACTTCAATCACTTCCTTTATGTAGGTTTACTCAGGTTATGAGTTTTATTGAAAAAGAGGGCTGAGTTGTGGAGTTTATGAAGATGCATAAACCATAAGGAGGCTGTAATGATTGTTGATGTCTCTACAGTTTCAACAGACTAAAATGGTATTTTAGAGACTTTTCGGCCTGCATATAAATAAGGTTTTTGAAAAGAATTCCTCATTTTTGGAATCCAATGTAATGAAAAGCTGTTTTCGAACTTAACAAGAAAAGAAAACTAAAATTATGAGTAGGACTCAAATAAATGACGGTTATTTGCTACATATAATGTATTTTGACCAAATAGAGATACATGGCAGAACCATGATTTCCCTCAAAGCATACAATTAAAGGTTTTGTGCTTGTAAGGAAAAACTCTTTTAAATGTGTTTACACAAAGGTAAATACAGTATGTACCACAGCATTTGTTATGCCCATTAAGTGCTCTCAGATCTTTTTGTTTAACATCATTTTACCTCCATAAATGCCTGCAGGCCATATCTATGAATTCTCTGTGTCCCTGTGTAACAATTAACCATTGATGACTAACAAATTGTTGGAAATTTGGTCTCTTGTTAAACTGGAAACAAATCCTTTTTTGTTCTCCGGGGTTTACACGCTTCCACTGTTGTCTTTCCTCTCTTCTGATGTTCATCCAAGCTAAAGTCTGGTGTTTGCAACTGAGCACATTACATCCTGCTCACATTCTCTTAGGCTTCTACAGCTAAAGCTCGGCTGATATCTTCCTCCCACAAATCTTTTGAAGGCTCATTTTTCTGTCAGTCACTCGGCTGTCAAGTGTTTTGTGATTTAGTTTAAATGTCTTTTTAAGTTGGCTGTTTTTTTTATTTTTATTTTTTAGCTGCATTTCAACTGACTTTCCGATGCCCATTTACAAGTCACAACCTACTAATCAAAAATCCCCACGGGCTTATCATCGTTCTAGTTTTCAAACCATATATTCTGTTTGATCTAGTTGGATTCGAGTGAGTTATCTTTAGCTAAACAATATAAATATATTGGAGACTTAGTATTGATCTGATTTACTAGTAAAGAATAGAGCAGTTTTTACACATTCTATATGTTTGGAGGTGTAGATGTTTCAGACAAGATAATTGGCTTAATGTAATTGGATGCGACACAGACCTGTAATGTGAGAAACTTGTTCTTGCTCAAATTGCGTGTTCCCTACCTACTGCAGAAAACATGCAAAACAGATGGAAAATACTGAGGAAATACACCAGAGGAAGAAGAAAAAAACAGCAATGTTTCTGTTTATTTTTCCCCCCCTTTTCTGTTTTCTAGCCTAGTTGTCTTTCAGCCATCCATCTGTCATCCGCAGCCAGCCTCTGCACCATCAAAAGGCTCGCATTTCAAAATAGAGCATTTCTCCTCAGCTTCTTAGGGAGCTCAGACTTGCTACCTTGAGTTTGTTTCTTCGGGCAAAACAGACATCTTTACATCAGAGAGTAGAACTGTAGACACACAGAGACACAGAAATGTCGATGTTCATTCCGTCTTCCTCATCTTTATCACGCTTGGCTTTCTGAAACCCCGTTAGTCGCATCGATAATACAATGACCGGCCTTACTGTTTCATTCTTTTACCACCTGTGTTTTTCCATCCCTGCGTCCAAGCTGTCCTGTGCGCTCCCTTAAATATTTTAAACTCTTATAATGATCTTTTCCTTCCTTTTCACAAAGGATTCACAAATACACTCAGAAGCTTCTCTTTTATACATGACAAGGGTTCTCGTTCGGCCGATCTGCCGTCGTTTTGCTGAATTGGTTGCTACCGTTATCTCCACACCCTGTGAATTTAATTTGAATGGACATTTTAGCCCAATTAAGAGGGCCGGTGAGCATTTGTGAACATTCCCATCAGCTAATAGAGAGCATTGTTCAACGAGCATGCTCCCAGTACAGCTATCTAAGGGCTCTTCAGTGCATCAGAGCATATGCTACATTGGCAACATATGCTTATTGAACCCTGGTGCTAGGGAAGGAAAAAATATGTTTTGATTGGGTTTCCTGTGGGCAGAATATTTGAGACTGTCTTCACCGTGTGTGTGTGTTGGTACTTAAGATCCTGGAAGTGATCTGACTGCCTCGCAATGACATCATGTAACATCTTGGGGCACGAAGCGTCTAGTTGTGCCATTATCTTCCTTAGTGCCAAAGGGTTAATTAGTGGATAGGACCAAAGTGATAAAGCAGCACAACTCAGTGGAAATCTATTGTTTATCTCTGACCAAGCCCTGCCCACTTTCTCACTGTCCAGTTATTTTTTTCTCCAACTCTTTCCTCCGAAGTGGAAAAGGTAATAACAAAGGCAACTTTTAAGGAACACACATTTTAAACAATTTCCCTAAAACCAGATTACCTAAAACATTTTATTAACAGCTAAAAATAAACTCATATTACACTGGATTGCAACAAATACTTTATTAAAATCAAAAGTATCCCCCCGCAGCAAGCAAGCTGTACTTTTCAACAACAATATTCTGTGGTAATTTATCTAAGTTCTTTTCAGAATGAGCATTTTTTTCAGGCTTGTCCTTTTCTTCCTTTTGACGTGCCCAGTCAAAGCTTTCGATGCACCAACGACGTGAAATAACAGAACTCAAAATCGCCACATTTTCAAACTTGGAATTAAACAAATAAGCTTTTTGTATGCACAGCTGAGATAGACAACCTGGAGTGTGAAGTTGCCAGTAAATGGTGCGCAACAGCGGGCATTCAGGAAGTCAGAGCCTGACTGCAGGCAGTCACAGAAGCAATACATAAATCAGAAAAAATAAAGCCATCTGAACATAGTCTGCTCAAATGTTTCAGGCCTTAAATCACACAAAGGGACAAAAAAGGTGGAAACTGCCTAAATACTGTGAGTTCTAGTCTTAAACAGTGAGTTGAGGGAATGCTTTTTGGTATTGGTTCCATGTTGTTTTGTGTTTTAAGGGGACATATCATGCAAAATCCACTTTTTTAGCTGTTAATTGCATTGTGTGGTGTACTTAGAGTCTCTAGAGCCCCGTCTCCACTGTCTAGTCTCACTCTGTTCGGTTCTGCTCAAGCAGGTGTGTGTCTCCATGTCAGTGTGTCCCTCATTCTTTGGGCGAAATCGTAAGCGTGCAATACTCAGTTCTACACACTTGAWACCACCTTGGGGGTGGTTCTGAAAGCRCAGCTGGAGCCAGAAATGGAGATTTACCAACTAACCGATTTCAGCGTCTTCAYTGTCTTCTGGCTCCGACTCTGGCTCCAACATGTAAGGCTGGATGARCAAGTCCTTTGTTGCTGACATCTTGTCATTGATATGTAAATAGAAAGTTTTTTGCCCCACTATATACCACTCTGGAAGCTGGAGGGGGCGGGGTGTGAAGTGCCTYGTTTGGATTTAAAGAGACAGCCTCAAAAGGAGTTGATCTGASACACACCTCAGAAAAGRCGTGAAAGAGGGGCTTGTGCAGTTACAGTAAGGAGGAATTCTGACCAARTCAGACCAATTCAGGCCAGATCACTTTATGKAGACACCAATTGAATGATTTAAATGTGAAAAAGTAGGATTTAAAAAGCATGACGTCTCCTTCAAAAACCCACTTTAGCTACTGTATATTTATTTTTCAGAACATGTTTTGCCTAAAATAAAATCTAGAAATTGAAACCACAAAAAATGAATTCTAACACCCTTCATTACAATGGTTTCACTATTTTTGAGCCAATTAAAAATATCCCTGCTGCTTAATAACTGCACTTCTGTTGTTAGACACTCAGCTTCTGCTCTGCGTTAGCTTTAAGGAAAAGTAGCTTAGCATCGGTGTGAGCCTTGAGTATCAGTCAGAGCATTTTCACTGCGCTCAGTTGGAGGGGTTTTATAAAAGGCTGGCACAGTTAGAAGAAAAGAGCAGCCAAACCCTTGAATGGCAAGGATTTGTTCTAATTTTATCTTTAATCTTTAACATTCTTTTAACTCCGACTTTTCACCTGATATACCAAAGTACTTTCACTTCACATTCTTTTTCTTCATATCAATAAATATAGTATGATTTGAATAAACAGTGGTTTTATTAAAGGTAAACATCATTTGAAGAAATATGCTAAGACATCTGCATAAAAACCCASAACTTAATCCAGGGTTCCCACGGGTCCTTGAAATCCTTGAAAGTTTGTGAATTTTAAAAAATTATTTCAAGGCCCTGGAAAGTTTGTGAAAACAGCCAAAAATTACACTTGCCCTTGAAAGTCCTTGAATGTTTATTTGGAGATTGAAATTCTCTATTCACACAACTGATTTTCATCATCTTTTAAAGAAATAATCTATAAAATAAATTTTAAAAAATACGTACATTTGTTGCGGTGGATAACTCAAGATTAAGGGCTCGACACACGAGCAGCGACAAACTACAGCGATTAACGGCTGTCATCGCAGCCAGGGTGAAACCCGACACACGGGACGCTGTAGTGATTGCAGCGTTGCGAATCGCGCTCTCAGGTCGTTTGTCTTCATGAAATTTGATTGGTTCTTGACTCTGAAGGCGGGTGTGCATGACGAACGTGTAAACTAAAGAAATCTTGCGATGCTAATGATATTGAAAAACAAACACACATCAAGATACAGTTTTATGAGGAAAAACTTACCATAAACTTCACCCTGGTGCCAATAAATTCCCACAAAGCTTTTTAGTAATCCCTTGGTGAAAGTGTTAGCTAACTGCAGTGTGTAGCATACTTTCCTCTCATTGGTCAGTCAATGAAACCCTTGCTGATTGGTTGTACGCTAAGCGACAGCGACAAAAGTTGAACATTTTTCAACTTTCATATGTTGCGTTGCAAGCTCGCGTGTGCACGTCTACGTGTACGAGCGTGACATTTCACATGCACTATTTTTGCCGGTCGCTTAGCTGGAGGAGGGTGAGCGATTGTCGCCTCACCGCACAGGTTCCATAGAAAATGAATGGAGAGTGTGCGACGTCGCCTCCCGTGTGTCGAGCCCTTTATGGTAAACTGGCGTCATTGTTTCTGACTCAACAACCTCTATGTTGTTCAGTTTGTCATTGAATTTACATGAAATTAAACCTGTTTATTGGTAACATTCTGTGGTAGCAGTAGGTAATTGCCATTGCACRTGGTTCTTGAATTTGAGGAAATTGGTACTGGAAAGACCTTGAATTTTCATGTGGACCAAGGTGTGGGAACACTATTAATCATGAGAATCCCAACTGTCGCTATTTGGGCAAAAAATAAAAACTTTCCTGTTGTTCAACGGGTAAAGTGAATTTGTTGGAGTTTACCTTTTACCAGTGCCCCCCCCCCCCACCCCCCAACTTTATTCTTTCTCCATTTTGGTTTTTCTTCTTCTTCTTTACCCATCATTACAACATCTCATGCAACACTTTACACCCCCACAATTCTGTAAAAAAATGCTTTCTCATCTCAGCCTGTATAAATCAAACATTTTCCTGCAGAAAGCATTGCACATTTGAACATCCCGCAGACACCAGCCAGTCACTTGTATGTATCATCAACCTACGTGTTTCTCCAGATTACAGCGGCAGCTATAACAACTGTGTCCTCCTCCTCGCAGTTCTGTCGAATCGCGCACACACACACACACACACACACACACACACTTCCACATAAACAGAATCAGACATGCCTTTACCGCCTCCCTGCTGTGATGAATGACGTTTGGAGACAGGGGATCAGAGTACCACCCGCAAGGCTTAATTAGTCATTGTCACAAATCAATTAGGGAGAGGAGGATGTTCAGTGTCTTCATCCTTTTGCTCTCACTTGACGCCGCTAGCGTGACGTCTACACACGAAGATGTCTGCACGAGGTAAACTCACCTAAGGCTGAACACTGTTACCAGTACGCCAGTTTAGTTTCCGACTCGAAAGAATGACTTGTTGCTAAATAGGACATGGCAGATGTTTTGAAAGCAAATGGAGCGTCTGGTGTTTTTTTWATTTTTTTATTTACTTTGCCTCAGCAAGTTGGCCACATTCCATTCCATGATCTCCCTTTGCCACAAGTTTGGCTAAAATAGTCACAGGGATCTCCTTACTTTGATCATTTGCGTAGACCCGAGCTGGTCTAGACACGGCCTCAGCTGGCTGCTGCCTCGTAAGACCTTTCCCCCTGGAGGAGATAAGATTCCCTCTGAGCTCTGACTCCCATCATCTCATGCTTCACAGCTGTCAGCCAGGAATGTGGACCCTTTTCCACACCTTTCATTTCCAGGGCCTCAGAACCGAGCGGCAGACAAAGAAACTATTCAAAGTTAGTTTTCACCGGCAAACATAAGCTTGGTTTTTTTCTCTCTCTCTCCCTTTTCTATCTCCGTCCTCTCTATGAATCCATCTGAGAGCTCAGAGATAGCAAATCAATTCTCTTATCCCTGATCCCTGTGAACGTTGATATGCAATTTGGCAAAAGGGGTGGTGGGGTCTCAGTTGGCGCAGCAGAAGCTGACCAGTCTGCTCGCGAGGCTGGTACTGGCGGGTAAAACGGAAGGTCTGGTCATTTCTAAAACAGTTTGCCTCACTTTCTTTTCATATCTGTGTCACACACTGGTCTCACAGCTCAAAAGAAAGGCCACCCTGGAGGCTGGAGGTATTGCCCTTGTGCTTTTGCATCATCACCTTTAATCAACATGCCCCCACCATAGCATTTTAAGTTGCATTGTAAGCTTTTAAAACCATTGTGTCTTATGTTTACTGTTCTTTACAGATTCTGGTCTGAGCAGTCCTCAGAGTGAAGCAGATTTTGACTATGAAAGTTAGTCTCTATGCTTTTAGAACATCCACTGCGTCTTTTCTTTAAATATTCATCTATAAAATGTTTCTGTGTGTTTTAGCTTCGCTTGCCTCAGTTTACAAACACATCATTTGCATTTGATTATGTTTATTTATTTATTTTTTGTATGATGCTGCAAAATTTGAGAAATAATTATGTTGTTTTGTATTGGCACTCCGGGTTTTTTGTTTTTAATTGAATGCTAATCACAATATTCACTCAGGCTACTTGGCTATGCATTAATCCGCCATGCATAAATAACATGCACAGTCACTGTTGTTGATGTATAGATGCTTTTAATGTGTTTTTTTAACAAGCATAAAATCTGTGTAGTTTTTTTTTTTTTCGTTCTTCTTCACCTCCCTGTTGTTGTCCCCCCCTTCGTCTCTTTCACAACCACTGCTCCATTTCCATTCTCAACCAACGGGGTCTTTTCTGCGCTCGGTGATAACGAGCAGAATTAATTAAAGCAGTGCCAAACAATGGCTCGACATTTGATCACCCCCTCTTCCTGCAAGAGAATCATCCAAGAGAAAGCAGGGTTCATAGTTTTTCTCTCTACTACCCCCCACCCCCCCTCCATTTTCCTTGCTTACCCGCAGACAGACTTCTTCTCTTTTATATGGAAATACACAAGTTCATAAAAAGGCTTCTGGAGAAACTGGCTTGGCTTATCAAAAAGAATCGTTTTATTTTTCAGGCACATTGACTGCAAATCGGTAGATTGGAAACGGGTAATTAGAAGCTGGTTTGTTTTTCTGTGTTCACCCATCACACTGTTGATTGCAGTTGGGGAGAAAAATGGAAGGCTCTGAGCCAAGACACAGAAATACAGTAAATGTGAAGTATGAGTTTTTGTTAAAGAAGAGTAGGAGCTTAAGATTTGGGTTAGAAATAACAACAAGCATGTTCTGACAGCAACATACAGTATATTGCAAAACTAAAATAAGTATTCTTTTTTTCCTTTCGTTGGTTGAATGCTGTTAGTTTAGAAATTAGGTATTAAATGACTCAAATCAGGTGTTTTTTATTATTACTAATTTTGACCTAAAAGCTAAAGACTGGGTTGAAATACACTAATACAAATAGATCAGTAGGTGTGGCAGTCAAATGTTCGGAGCCTGTCCGGTGACATTGGGGGAAAAAAATCCTTCTTGGCCACAAGATAATTATTACCATCATTTCCATGCAGAAACTGTTGATAGTTTACATGGACAAGTATGAATTRATTTAATTTCATTTTAATACAGGAATGAATGACATACTTTAATCACTTGTGGTTAGGCATGTTGCAGCTATAAGACACAGGTGATGACTAGAGTCATATTTGTCTATAAAGGTTTCCTTTTTTAAGCTCAAAATAAACAACAGGCTCAGGAACACAGTAAAAAACCTGTTTCTTAAAACACTGTTAGGATGCACAATGTAATCTCATAAATAAAATGAAAAATGTACCGTTTAGCTGGAACCGTGAAGGTATACTCTTTAGTTTAAAACTACACTAACACACGCACACACACACACACACACACACACACACACACA